TGGTGTTGTTGCTGCAGCTAACGATGACTGATGACATGGCGACATGACGATGATGCTGATGACGATGACGATGGTCGTGACGATTTTGGTGATGATGATGATGGTGGTGATGATGGTGGTGATGATGATGATGACGGTGATGATACTCATGACGATCATGATGAGGATGACGATGGTGATGGTGATGGTGATGGTGATGGTGATGCTGATGCTGTGATGGTGATGGTGGCAGTGATGAAGACGATGATGACGATGATGGTGATGATGATGGGGATGACGATGACGATGATGCAGATGATGATCATCATCATGGTTATGACGGTGACAGACCTGCTACGCCATAACCTGGAGCCGTGCCAAGACTCGATTCCGACACAACCTCTCCGTCTCTCTCTGTCCCAGAATCCGTACGATCTGTTCTGCCAGGGCAGCACATTACGACCCTCGGACACCACACTTTGAGCTCAGATGTCGACTCCTGGCACCACTCCCTGTAGATTCCTACATCCAGACCGCCTCGGGCTTAAACCTAAACGCCAAAACCTTACCAGAATCACCCGAGACCCCGTAAGACACTTCATCGAGCTTACGGAAAGTCCGCTAGGCCCCTGAAAAATCTCTGAATCAGGGAACACCCTTTCAGCACAATCCTGATAATTAGTAACTTTATAGTATGCTTGTACAGGAACTAAACCCTAAACCCTAAACCCTTAAACTAGACCCTAAACCCCAAACCCCTTCAAGCCCTTAGGCTTCGGCCACAGGACCTAGGCTCCCCCATCGTGCCGTCGCACTCGTTGAGGTACGCCAGCCCTTACAGGTGGCAACGATTAGGGTTTAGGGTTTAGGGTTTAGAGTTTAGGGTTTAGGGTTAGTGTTTAGGCTTCAAAGTAGGTAACCTACAGTTTAGAATTTAGGATGTAAAGCTTCGGATTTAGGGTCAGCTTCAGAGTCACTTAGCCGTCATTGTAGGGCAGTGCAAACCTCTTATGTAGGGTAAAACGCGAAACCCTATTGCACATAGGCGCTGTTACTGGTTCTTGATATTTATCTGGGGGGGCGTGGCAATAGAACAGCTTGGCTATCCTCACTATGTTTTCCTGCACCCTGGCGATCAAGAACTCCTCTGTTGGCACTACTAACTGACACAGTTGGGCTTTAGCGGTTAGGGCTGGGCCCTAGACCCTAAACCCTAAAACCCTAAACCCTCAACCCTAAAACCCTAAACCCTAAACAAGAGTCTCGAAGAGCCTTGAGAGATCTGCTCCCATGACTGTAAGTCCGGTATCCTTGACAGAGAACTGGTTTAGGGTTTTAGGGTGTTTAGGGTTTGGGGTTTAGGGTTTGGGGTTCTGCTTTCCACGGTACCATGAGCTGAAAACTGCTAATAAGGCTCTGGAGCCTCGCCGAGTCTGTGCCTATAGTCTCCATTGTAGTTCCTTTTCTGGTTTAACCATATTTTTGCCAAATAAATAAATAAATAAATAAATATATATATATATATATATATTTATACATAGGATCCAACAAGGTAGCCTCAAAATGGAAACACAATAGAGACTATAGGTAGGACTTTTGAGTCCGGACAAACAGGTTTGAGGACTTTTGGCTTCAGGGCAGTCCGAATGTAGTTTCGGCGCTTAGGTTTCCAGGGCTCACGGGGCTTGAAGTTCTGCGGCCGCGAGGCGGGGGCAAAGCTGCTGAGCAGAAACCTCGCCATCCGTGGACATTTATGATCATAGTAGCTTGCTTCGCCTTCGCCATCTCTAGTACGGCTGCCATCACCTCCACCGTCAGAACTGAAAAGGAGTCAACAATCATCCTAACAGCCGTCATCACCATTATTACTAGATCCCCGTTCTGATTCACGACCATAACCATGACTATCGTTGCAGTCATCACTGCCATCAACCAAATAACCATCACTCACATCATCGCAATGATCGTCAGGCATCACAAGCAGCAACATCACAGCCTTGCCGTTCGCGGTTATGGAATGACCCTCAACCCTTATGGTCACGATGACGGCTGTGCTGATACTGACAACTGTGAAGTCTTTGCGACTGATGTGGTGGCTGTCCCGGCGGCTTGTAAAGCTTCTATGTATGTATAAGACTTTAGCAAAACACAAGGTAGCGCTATGGCCACCGTGCTGGTATGACTGTGATATTGTGCTGCCCTCATCGAAAACTTGCTTGCCTAGTGGGGTCACAGGACATCAAGGGGAATGCCACGAGATTCAGAGTCGCTATGTCTCTGGGACGGCTGCGCAGAAGGCTTCTGGAGTTCAAGTGGTGTTTAGGCTTGCCGGCAACTACCAATGCTGTCTGCTTACACGTTTGGGCTGAGGGGCTGAGGGGGAGTGCTCGGCAAGTAGCTGGCAAAAAAACCGAAGTATCAGCAACCACACGCTGAGGGATGCATGGATCTTGCCGCATTTCTGCGACATGCAGGGCTTGCAAAAGTCTTGGGTTGCGATCAGCCTCAAATCCTAAAACGAACCTTGAACACTGAACCAGACCCTAAACCCTAAACCGTAAGCCCTGAGCCCTATAAGACCCTAACACGTAAACGAAGAGTGGTAGTGTGAGGGCATGCCTTCTTCATGGCAGCGACATTCTCTCGCCGCTCCTGGATGCTGTCTGGTTATTTGGGGAAGCACTTACTTTAGGGTTCTTGATACTGGCAAAGACTGTAGCCTCCAAACCCTTCATCCTCCTAAATCTCAAAACCGAAACCACTAAAACCCGAAAACCCTAGAACACCGAAACCTGCAAACGCGAGCCGCCCTAAACCCTAAACCCTAAACATCCCTAAACCCTACACCCGAAACCCTAAACCTCCCTAAACCCTAAACCCTAAACCCAAAGTCCTTGCTCTTGTTCATGCCACGGTCTTTCTTCTGCTTCTTCGCTGGAGGCTCTGAGGTGCCCTCCTTTGCATCGGACTAGGCTTGGGGTTTAGGGTTTAGGGCTTTAGGGTTTAGGCTTTTAGGGTTTAGGGTTCAGGGTTTAAGGATAAGAGATATGGTCTTAGCGATGAGGGACATGGGATAAGGGTTTGGGGGTTTAGGGATAAGGGCCTGGGGTTCAGGGTTCAGGGGTACAAGCTTCTGGTTTAGAGTTTACTCTTGTAGCTCATGATGTGACAAAAAAGGCAACGTAGGCTTTGAAACTGAGGCAAATCGTGCAACTAAACGGCCAAGCAGACCCTGCATATTCTCCGAGAGG